CAACTCATCCCAAACTACTCTGCCGTGTTTTCGTGAGACAGTGAGACTGAAAGGGGAAGAGGTCCTTTATTTTCTTAGGAAGAGAATGCAGTCCGGCGGAGGTGGGAGAGGAATGGGACAGAACTTTCCTAACAAAGAAAGAGCCTGTGGCCTCTCAAACCGCCCCCACCCCACGCTGGATGAACCATCACAGCCCCTGACCTTCTCCACCCAGAGAGGGGGAACCGGGATGAAGGCCTGGGCTCTGGAAGGGCCGAGGGCCGGGGAGGGCCGCAGAGTTAGGTGCAGGCTGGGGAGGCAGGCGGGTTGGAGAAGAGGGCTCTGTCTGGGACGGGCAAGGGGCCTGGCTGGGGAGCCTCCTTCGATCTAGAGGGAACCGCCTCAAGACCTCATTGAGGGGACTTGGCTCCCCAAGGCTTCAGGGACACAGAATCAGGAAATCTGGGGTTTCTCGGCTTCCTACTCCAGCCTCCTGGGGCACACACGGAGCCCTCGAGGAGAGACAGAAACATGTACACACCCAGATCAATCTTCAGACCTGCATCCCTAGACCCTCTGCTCTGGCCGATTTGGAGATCCCACATGTGGGGTCCCCTCTCCCTTCCCACCAACCAAGTAAAAACTGCCCTACCTCTTGACACCTGAGCAAAGGAGGGGGGGGGAAGGCCTTGGCCAGGGGGCAGTGAGGGAACCTGACCTACTGCTGCACTTGCCCCCACAGAAACCAGAGAGGGTCAGGGCCAGCCCTTGGTATACAGAGTGCTGGAAGCCTGTGTCTCTCCAGCTCCTAGTGTTGTTGGTTCAGAAACTGAACACACACACCCACCCCAGCTCCAGCTTCCTCACGGCAAAGTGGGTGTGATGACAGGCCCTGCTTGTGATGCTTGGAGAGGATGGTAGTACTGCCTGGGGAGCATGGTTTATAGATGCTCAGTAATTGGTATCAAGGCAAGTGAGAAATATCCTGGGTGTGTGTGTGCGTTTGCTGTTTAATATATTTGTTTAATTTTTTTATTGAGATTAATTGACATATAACATTATATTAGTTTCGGGTGTACAACAGAATGATTTGATATTAGTATGTACTGTGAAATGAACACCACAATAAGTCTAGTTAACATCCATCACCATACATAGTTACAGACTTTTTTTTTCTTGTGATGGAGACTTTTACGATTTACTCTCTTAGCAACTTTCAAATATGCAATACATATTTAAGATAACTACAAGCCACCGTACTGTGTATTACCTCCCCTTGACTTATTTATTTTACAACTGGAAGTTGTACCCTTTGACCCCCTTCTCCAATTTCATA